ATCACACATTAAAGAATAGTTATAGGGTGTCATATTTTCTTAATACATTGGGACTCATGACTTGACAAGATGTAATGTTATAAATCAACATACTCCTTGTGGTTAAGTATAACACTTTATGAAACTCAACTAACATCTGAGAGCCTCCATGGACTATACAATATGCTAGAAGCTTTGCTCTGATTACAAACTTAACAACTAACTATTCTCCCCCCTTGAAATCTCAAAAGGTCATAAGAAGCTTAAAATTGATCACCCAGTTTCAAATTCTCTATCTTCCTTACATTTTCTTAAGGAAGACTACTCATAACACCAGAAAACATAATAACACTGCATTTACTCACTTTTAAATGTTTTAAAATATATCCATGCTTTTGCTCTTGACTAACTTGTTTCTTTATCTATATCCCACTTGCCTCCAAACGAATCCAGTTGCTCTCAACTAAAAGATCGTGTCAAACCAAGATAGTGGTTCGAAATGTGGGATTATAATGATGACATCTTGACACAACTGAACTATAGATTTGAAGATTCGAATACAACCACAAATTCAAAACTTCCATTGAAACAATCATACGACCTCAAGCCATATCAGATTTTCATATGGATTAAATTTAATTTCACCTAAATACAACCTACCAGATGAAGTGTAAGCGTGAAAATCCCTATAATTTAAAAACACCAAATCAATTGTACATAGCATGTCTGAGCAACAAATCAAGATCCAATTTAAACAAGAATTTCTGGGAACAAATAAAAAAAATACCGAAAGCGAGAAATTACTACAGTTTGGTTTAAATCAAACTCCAGGGTTGGAACTGCAGAGCATACCCTTAGACAGAGACCTGCAGCCCTTGGTGTCGATGCCAAGGCATGAGGTGAGTCTGACCGAGGAGATTGCTGCGAGGAACGGCAGCAGAGACTGGAGTGTAGCTATTTTGAGACAATGGCGTGAAATAAAATTCAGAGTCAAAAATCAAAATTTAGTTAAGACATTCGATGAAAACTCATTTGAGATAATGGCCTATAGTTCAAAAATTAAACGAAATGTTAGATCTTGAATAAAAGTGGTAAAATGGATCACATGAAAGGTCATTTGGGGTTTTAAGAGTAAACCATCTGGGATAACATCTTCAGATTCACAATGAAATCAACAAAACAAAATCTTGATTTAAAAATTAAACTCAATATGCCTACATAAAACCCAGGATATATCATGACCAGAAATTGAAGAATAAACTACAAAAATGACATTTTTCTTCAAGAATTGAAATGGATCTTGAAGGGCGGTTTTACGGTTATTGAAATAGTGGATTTGAGAAGACTAGCTGCTGGTCTTGACATTATTCTATAGCTAGACGCCATTGTTGTCGATTGCAGATACTGAATGATATGCTTCTTAGTAGTGTTTATTATTTTGTTTGGGGTTTTGGTGAGGTTTTAGAAGCTTCATTAAGTGTTGTACTCAATTCTATTTCTTGATATTTTTCTTCCAGATTCTTTTCTGAATATTCTGATCATCTAATGAGATTAACCAACTTCAATCTTTTTGTAAGATGACCAATTTCGATCACTCGTGGCTCCTAAAGATATCCTCGTAGCTCCTAGCTTCCTAGTTCCTACCACGAGCTGGGAGTCCACTGGAAAATGAATAGACGGACCTAGCTCTTTTTGCGAACGTTTTCTCCACCNAATAGACGGACCTAGCTCTTTTTGCGAACGTTTTCTCCACCTAGTTTTGGTTCGTGAATGGCCATAGTGTCATTCACTAGTTTAACAAGACGCGAATCTCTTGATTTACTGTCCCATTTATTAAATTCACTATTTTAAAAGGCATGAAAAAAGTGACGATTAAAGGTGCCGCATTTTCAAAATGCACCAGATAAAAGCATAGATAAGGGGTTAGGCTATCGACAACCTTGCACCAAATTTTGAGATAAATTTTACTCTATTTGGCACCAAATTAAAAATCATCTCCAACCCATTACGTCAAAAGTTGCACTAAATGAACAACGTTTAATCATTTTCATTTTTTTTTATTCTCAACAATTTATATATCTGAAAAATTATTTATTTATTTATTTTATTACTGCATAAATAATTACATTTTGCTGACGAAAATATTAAATTCATTAAAATTATTTATTATTGATTATATGATTAAAGTATATTACAAATAATGATGATGATGATAGTGTTAAATAATAATAGTTATTTATATAATAATAATAAATTAAGAATTAAAATTTATGTATAATATAAAATGACACAAATACCCTTGACAACATTTGGTGCTAAATGAAAAAGGGAAAAAAGGGACTTTAATCAAATATGGTGCAAAATTTGGTGTTAGGTTGGAGTGACATTGCATCAAATACTTGGTGCAAAATAGGAAAAAATGGTATTTTGGCACAAGGGTTGAGTTGCCCTTAGCTACTTCATTTTGTTCAAGGGTGAATCTAATAGTATTATGCCTTTTAATGCCCTTTCGAGAACAATAATTATCAAAATCTTGATTACAAAACTCAAGTCTCCTAACCCTCTTACTCTTTTGATTTTAAACTAGGGTCTCCCAGTGTTTAAACCTACAAAAGGCCTAATATTTATGCTTATGCAAGAGGATCCAAGTTTTCCTAGAAAATATCTATTTCCACCAAAAATAGGAATCTTTTCAGGTCCTATAAATTATAATAAAAGTAGGTGTCAACCTAATTGGGATGTACTTAAGTAGGTGTCAACCTAATTGGAATGTACTTATACTATAAATATTTGGTAATAGTAATTAGAAATACATTTAGTTGTTATTTGTTTAAATTAAATTTAACTTCGCAAAGTTATAAATAATTCACGTAACATTAAATTTGAATTCTATGTAAACATTTCTTGGTATAAATATGAATTTATCATTTTGTTCAATTCTTAGTTTACATTTTGACAAAAAAATATTTTTTTACTATAAATATGAAAAATTCTAAGGACTTTAATCAAATATGGTGCAAGAGTATTCACTTGCACCATTTTGCACTAAAATGGTGCAAATGTGGTATTGAATTGGAGTAACATTGCACCAAATATTTGGTGTGAGGGTTGGAGTTGCACTTGGCTACTCTTTTAACCATCAATTCTTGTCTAGATATCAAAAGTTTAATGCCTTTTATTATTATTATTTTGGAGCAATTCTTGGATTAATTTCTATTGTGGACCCAGATATTAAGGGCATGTTCTCTTTACTATTTTCAAGCCATTTTTAATTTTCGATTTTCGAAAATATTGAAAATACGTTTACTTACCATATCTCTTTGCTGTTCTCTTTGCTATTTTGAGGTTTGACCTCACCGTCTTACCATATCTTACTCCTTTTGGAACGTTGATTAAAGCGCAACACACAACTCCGTCAACAATAAATTATGGGATTCATTGTTACTAAACCAGTGATTATTGCAATTAATGAAGAATTACATTATACTTTTAAGTAATATTAAAAATTAAAAATAAAAATTACAATGGAAATCTCAACTTTCATGAAATAAAGCTAACAAATTCACAACTTCCAATTCGTGGCAAGTAGATATTCTACCTTTAAGCCCTGTTTGGTACACATTAAAATTATATGTGAATTTTCTTACTTAGGCCCTGTTTGGTACACATTATTTTTTTCATTCTCATTCTTCTACTCATTTTCAACCACACATTCTTCAATAAAATAATATTTTCCATCACATTAATAACTTTTCCTTCATTTTTAACCACACATTCTCCATCAATCTAGTATTCAATAATACATTCTTTCAAAAGAATGTATCTCAAACGCACTCTAAATGTTATAGTATTAAGTTAATAACTAAATCGGTGTTAAGCATTTGCGTATATATGATTACTCATCATTGTGAAACATACCAACTTCAATTTTTATTTTTTTGAATATAAACATATCTTGAGAATTTTTACCACGCACAAATATGATAGGTTTATATAATGTCAATTTCTTCAAGAATGACAAATTTCAAAGGAGAAAATATAAAATAAATATATTTATATCTATTCATAGTAGATGAAACAATTGATGTTGCTTTGATTTTACTAAAAACCAGATTTCTAGTAAATTTTGACAAAAAATTGATAAGAGTTGTGGGTTGCATTAAATGAGTGATTAAAATTAATTGTTAACTTCGACTTGCATTTTTATAAATTTTTTTAGTTAAACTGTTGTAGTTTGATCCTAATTCTAGTGGATATTGAAATTTTGGTTGAAGTGTTCTTGAAGAAATTAGATTATGGACCGAGAGAAAATTCTTCACAATTTTGCTAGCTGACCATTAGCTATGGCGCTCAAGCGACGTCGTCAAATAATCAGTAGAACATTGGCGCCCATCGACGCTTGAGCGGTGTATATATTCAAGAAAATTTTGTTTCCTTCTTTTGAAGTGATTTTTGATCATTTTTCCAACCATAACATATTTTTTTTGGTCCTATATGTAGTCCACGTGATTCTTGACTTTCATATGATTGATAGAGTTAAAATTATATTTGTTACAAAATATTAATTACTATTATTAATAAATTGTTCGTTTCTCAGGCAATTGTTCTTGTGTTGTGATTGTTATTTCATATTATATCATATAATCACGTTTCTTCTATTCCTAACAAATGGTATCAACATACATAATTTTTGTTCGAATTTTTACATAAACCAAACAAAAGCAACACCAAAAGAAAAGAATGAAAGAAGGCATATTCTAATCATATATAAGCCTTGGCCATAGCTGAAAAATCTTTATTTACACGTATCATTAACGAGCATGCATCAAGATATCCTAAGACATTACGTGCCTTAAACTACTATTACAAGCAAGACCAAGTCAATTTCCCAATGTTTCCACCTTACACAATCCCCAACTTGTCCCTCAAAACTCCCTAAAGAATGTCCATCACGTTTAGACAACCTTATAGGCTTCAAATGTACCTTCACAGCCATCATAACAAACTTCCGCTTCCAAAAAATGGAGTCCTCTTCCTCCATCTCCACCCCCGCCTCCTCTCCGCAGCGCCCCTACCGCTTCACTCCAACGCAACCTCTCACCGACCGTGCAATCCGTGCTATCCGCCACCGTCTCCACCTCCTCCACCGGGTGGATTCCATGTTCTTTGTATTAGGAGCGACGGGAAATGTGTACACCGTTAACTTATCCACCGTCCCATCTTGTACCTGCCCAGATAGGACAGTTCCGTGCAAACATATTCTCTTTGTGTTAATTCGCGTACTTGGAATCCCACTTGACGATTCTTGCCTTTGGCGTCGGAGTCTTAGGCCGTGCCAACTCCATCGGCTGCTGAGCTTGCCTACTTCCGCTGAAGCTTTGGCCGGAGACCAAGTGCGGGAAAGGTTTCACCAGCTGTTTTTGCAAGCGACGCCGAGTAGTTCGCGGCCGAGTGTGGAGGTGGAAGGTGGCGCTACTTGTCCGGTTTGTCTAGAGGAGATGAAGAAAGGAGACAAGGTGGTGGCTTGTGGGACTTGCAAGAATCCAATTCATGAAGAGTGCTTATTGGCGTGGAAGAGGAGTAGCCGGAGAAGATCCACCACCTGCGTACTCTGCCGTGCACGGTGGCGTAATATTGTAGAACAAGAAAAGTATTTGAATCTCTCAGCTTATATTAACGAAAATGACATGCCAGGGTGTGATGACGGTCGATGTGGTGGTTAATTCAAGAATCAATGCCTTGACATGATAGAGTGAAAGTTAACTAGTACAATTTAGGGTTCAAATTAATCTGTATATACATTTCATCAGATTTTAGAGCTGCAAATATTAAATAATTCATATTATTTTCAAAATTCGACGAACTCTAGAATAGAATATGTTTATTCAAGATCGTTATTCTAGATTCTGAATCAGTGATTTGTCTTCTCTCGACTTAAATCAACTGTGTTGCTTTCTCGATAACGTTACTTATGCAATTTCTTTTAGCGTTAGTTATGCGCACTAGAGGGCAATTGATCAGTTCGTGCACCAATGTTTGCAACAAAAAATCAAGAAATTTCTTGTTCGAATTGGTACTCTTGTTCATTTTTCCACTGTTCCGCTGCATCAACAGTAGACAATATTTTTGGTTCTTTTTTGGTAAATCCATCCAAGTAAGAACTGTAAAATTTGTAATATAAAAAACTTAAATTTATAGAAAAATCCCACACAAGTTTATTTGTGATGAAATTCATACAAATAATTATACATATAATGGACACATGGGTTTACCCTTTTAGCAAACAAATGTGATCTTATTCCAATCTTAGAGTGAATTCATATATAATCTGCTGAGAAAACCAATAAATTTATCTCTTGCACACCACTCCACGGCCATCAAGCCCACTTGCACAGTTCAGATTTGCATACTCGAAAGTGTTCGATGTAATTAATGATTCTGTTTTCTTGAACCTGGCAACTGCACAATCTGTAGAAAATAGACTTGAAGAAGCAAATTCTCTTTGTCCACCCAAAACAGGCATGTCTATTCCCATTTTAACCCTACTCGTATAGTTTCTTGCATATGTTTGGCCCAAAACTCCATTAACTTCACCACTTAAAGAATAAAACTTGAATCCCAGATCAAGATGTGCAAAACAATCCTCTCCAGTAATGCCATATTTGTGTACTTTCGAGTCATGTTCTGTTATAGGCACAACTGTTGCTTTGATTTGGAAGTTTCCTTCAACTTCAATCACTACTGAATTAGTGTCCCTACCGGACCTTGTGATGGAAACACTGGGGGCAGGTTGCTGTTTTGCACCGTCAAAGGGCGGGAGGAAGACTGGTTTTCCATTGAAGGAGAGGTCTAAATGGTCGATAGAATTGTCCCATGATGCTGTCTTTTGTGCTCCAACAAAGATTTGGTGATTATCGAAGAGAATTCCGAGAGACTGAACCCATGTAAAGTCTCGTCCCATGTTCGCATTTCTTCTGCCGATGAAATGGGCGTTTATGTGCAGGCTGGAATCGGTTACTATGCAGAATTCTTTGTCCTTCTTGCCGTGGAAGTAGAAGGTGATTCCATCTGCGCCAATGAATCGGGGGTCTTGGCACACTGCGCCTGGCTTGTTGCAATCTGCTCGTTATTTTGCATGAAATTTTGTTAAATTATGCGTTGGTGATGAAAAACTGACACAACAGAACAAAGAATTAAGAATATTTGAACATTAAACTAATCACCTAGTCAGTTTAAAGATTGAGTACACTGGAAATTCAGCTAGCATATTGAAAGAGAAAACTTACTGCAGACAGGGCTGCAAGTGACACAATCAACTTCACAATAATCTGGACATGCAGCTGGGCACCGGTGTTCCATGTTGTAGCAAGTACCGTACGCTTTGTTTTTGCACCGGACTCTCTTCCCGCTGGCAGCTTCTGAACCATCAGGAGGCGGAGGACTTGGCGTAGCTGCTGGTGGCGTTGGCGGTTGTGGTGGGCTATCGACGGGCGGAGTTGGTGCAGGAAAGGTAGTGGGGGGTGGCGGCCGCAGAGATGGTGGGGGAACACAAAACGGCTGGCACGATTCACAATCAACATCACAGGAACGTGGGCAGGTTTCAGGACAGTGTAGGTCCTTCTTCTTGAAACATTCATAGAATTTCTTGTCTTTACACTTCACCTTCTTTGGCTTGCGGGTTGCAGCCTCCGCTGCCAGGGCCGCCGTGAGGAGCAGAATGAAAAATAAAAATAGGCTTCGCGTCATGGCTTTTCTGCTATTCGAACTTGTCATATTAGACAATGGAGGAGATTTTTCTACATAGAATAGTAACTCATGTTGTCTATTTATAGCGATTGAAAAAGTGAAGATGATTTGTAAGAGTATTAATTGAGTGGTTTCTTTGTTTGTGATTGAAGTGTTCATCGACGTTTTTGGTACTTCACATGGAGTTTTCCTGAAAAATTGCCATAGTCAACCTTCATAAACCTTTATAAAAAAGTTAAGTTAATTTCAGATAATCCAATGTGGAGGTGCTGGTCGATTTAATCAAATCTAAATTTACAAATTATTCCAAATCATTCCTTGGTAGATTAATGAGAAACTAACCAAAAGTGGTCACCTTCATTTGGTCTTGAGTTTATGAGGAAATTCGATTACTCTCCTTAGTATGTTGATGTTTTAGGATGAAACATCAAATATCATTACTTGGTACCAATGTCGTGCCCTTGACTATCTATATAAACGTGCAAGATGAATCTTTAGACATGAATCTCCATACATGTGAAGCAGTAGATCCCAGTAAATCACAATGGTCGGAATTAAACAGAGTTGTGTCAACAATGGAAGAGTTGAGCCTTTACAGAAGCGTGTGATTCTTTCTAGTTTGAGAAAGATGGAGAGGGATCACATAGTTTGAGCTTGCTGAGATGACAGATTGAAATTGTTGAAAAAGTGTGAAGAAAAGTCCCAAGTCTTAAAAATTAATTGAACATATCTTTTTTCATTTAACTTACTAAAATCAATTTTCTTTATGCATTTTTAGAAGAAATTTGACGGTTGATCTATGAAGTAACATTTTCTTTATCCATTTCGTCTGGCACAAAGTGACATGTAACTGTACCATCAATGAGTTTTGATTCCATTTTACCAATTTTGTCCTTCTCTCCAAAATAAAACATGCAACACATCCAATCAAAAGTGGGGGTATAATTGAAAATCAAACATAACTATCCATAATCAAATACATATGGTATTCGATGACCGTATTGGAAAATGAATTTTTTGGACAAAAAGGGCACCTAAACTCGGCAGAAGACAATGCTAAATTTTAAATAAGAAAAATGTAAGTTTTTTTTTTTAATTTCGGGAAGAGATTATAGTTTGTGAAATGTAGTTTTTGTTTGATCTCTACCAATTATTCATGGCAAAGAATTATATAAATTCGGAGGTTGACCTTTTTTTTTGGTCAATGCCTTTGGAGTCAATCCATGATCTAGCTATTTTTCAACTCTCGCCCAGCATACCTTCCCAGGTTACAACCCAATGAGACCCTTTTAACTTGTTCAAGTAATTTGAAGAATAATCTTCTCCAAAGGGTTAATTAATTTTATTTCTTTTACTAAAGTTTCATCTCAAACAATAATATTTATATTATATGTTTTTAAGTTTTGTTTTGTTTAATTAAGAAATTTAAACTTCAATTCCACGTTCTATAGTCAAGTCATGGCTCGTGACTCGAATAATTTTAATCATTTCTAATGAATTTTTTGGAACGAGAATCTTGCGATTTTAGCGATAAATGTAAATTCCCAAATAAGAGGTGTATTTTTATGTTTTCAATTCTTGGAATTTTTGTTGTGTTTTTTGCTTGAATTTCTTATTGTGTGATACATTCCACGTTGAGTGCTTATGCAAAGAGCCCTAAATTGCATAATTAAAATAGAAGCTAAGTCTCTAATTAGTGGTCAATGCTTACGTTTACGATTAGTCTCAGCTTGTATCCAACGTCGATTCCCATGTGTCCCGACTATAGCGCAAATCTCGCCAACTCAATCTTCTATTATAGGAGTTGGGGCTTTCTAATTCATCAAAACAACAAGGAGGCGGTCGAGCCACCTTACCTCCTTAGAGTTACAATCCATGAATTTGACAAGGAACATTTTATAATGAATCCAAAAAAAAAAGACACTCATTGTATAATCATTTATAAGAAAACCATATATCTTTGAAAAATGTTATTCATCCCCAGTGGGGTTGCATCCCCAGTCTATGTGGATGTAAATTATTGGTTAAATGATATGTGAAATTAAATGACTTATTTAATTTCAGCTATCATTTAACGCCACATAGACTGGGGATGAATAGCATTTCTCTATATCTTTTCTAGACTGGTTAGTCCAATTGCTTCATTTTTTATTTCATGCAGCAACAAGACCTTCGAAGCTGTCTCTTTATATCCCGTGTTGGTTAGGGTGTTCCAAATGCGAGAAAAAAATGAATGGTCATCTTCTTTATGGATTTCTTCCAACAATGTGTGTCGAGGAGTCAACCTCTGTCCACGAGAGTACCCAAGCTCATAACACAACTTCGAAACATTACATTGTCTACAAAAAATCTCACGTAACACAACGAAAACAAGCAAAAAGGAAAACAATTCAAGTTTAATGAAGTTCGATAAATCGATAACAACCACATGAAAAGAATTATTTATTATCTGAGAAAACCATATAGTACATCGTTTTAAGGTGCGGATCAAGGATTGAAGAAAAAAAAATTAAAGGGAACATTACATAACTAAGGGATTAAGTATCACCCATTTTAAAATTAAGAATAAAGGTTTTTAATTTCAAAAATCAAGTTTTTATTAAATTTTATTTGTGATTTAATTAATTAATTAAATATATTAATATCACAATTTCATAAAATTTGGTCACAAATTCCATATAATTGGTCACAAATCACAATTTTCATATGTCACAAATTATTTTACGATCACAATTCAAAAAATTTATCCATCACAATTTGTTCATCGGTCAAAAATATATGTAACAATTTATTTATCGATTGCAAATCTGTCAAATTAATGAGTCACATATTATTTATTGGTTACAAAATATCCAATTTATTGATCACAATATCAATTTGTCGGTCACAAATCACAAATATTAAAGTCACAATTCAAATTTTTAGGTCACGTTGGTCACAAAATATCCAATTTATTGATTACAATCTCAAATAATTGGTCACAAACACCCCACCCCATGCGCATCCAACGCACCACCACCATGACCACCACTTTCATCACCAAGTTTCATAGCTACCGCCAGCAACTCTACGTACGCCAGCAACTCTAAAATCAACCTAACACCACCAAAATATGGAAACCACCACCACCACTCCAACAACAAAAATCAAAACCAACACCTCACCATCACAACCAGATCCCCCACCACCTGTAACTGATGCACAGAGATATATGAATTATGTATGAAGCTGAAGCAATAAAGACAAGTAGAAGAGAAGTACTGAACACACATTTATTTAATAAT